TTAAAATCATTAGTAACCCCAGTTCCAAGGGATTCAACACCCTCTTGTGTCCTCGGCAGGCAAGGCACACATGTGGTGCACTCATACATGAAGTAAAAAGACTCAAACACATTTAAAAAAAGAAATTTAAATAGAAAAGAACAGGTCAGTTTAATTTTTAGTTACTATAACTTGTAAAAGTTTCTTGGCAGCACTAATATCATTCTCAGGCCATAAGTTCTTTTTACGTAGTTATCCTTAACCTTTTGATGACTTGAAAAATTTCCGAATCCTCTACCATCAGTGTGCTGGACAGCTTTAGTGTCAACTTGACACACCTGGGTTGAGGGAGCCTCAATTGCGGAACAGCCTTCATTGGACTGCTATGGAGTCCATGGCCTGTGGCCATGTCCATGGTGCACCTTCTTGATTGTTGAGTGATGTGGGAGGGCCCAGCCCACTGTGAGTGGTGCCACCGCTGGGCAAGTAGGCCTGTGTTGCATAAGAAAGCAGGCTGTGCAGGGGCCAGAGGAACAAGTCAGTAAGCAGTGTTCCTCCATGGCCTGTGCTCCAGCTCCTGCCTCCAGGTTCCTGCCCTGAGTTCCTACCTTGGGCTCCCTAATGAACTGTGACCCAGGAGATGTAAGCTGAATAAACCCTTTCCTCCCCAAGTTGGTAGTGGTCAGAGTGTTTTGTCAAAGCAATGGAGAAACAAACCAAGACAGAAATTGGTACCAGAGAGTTGGGTACTGCTGTGACAGACCTGTTTGGGGAAGACTAAGCACCCACATGGCAGCTAACAACTGTTCGTAACTACAGTTCCAGGGGATCCGACAGCTCTTCTGTCCACACTGGTGCACTTACCTACGTGCAGGCAATACATACACATAAAATAAAAATAATAAACAAAATATTTAAAAAAACAGTTAATTTGACTTAAGTGTGTGTTCACCTGCATGAATTTATGTGTACCACATGTATTCAAAGAGCCCTTGGAAGACAGAAGAGGGTGTCAGATCCCCTTGACTTGGAGTTACAGGTGTTTGTGAGCTATTATATGGGTGCTGGAAACTGAACCTGAATTTTCTGTGAGAGCGGTAAGTGCTCTGGGCAGTCTAACCAGCTCCAATTTGCATGGCCTAGGTACAGGTTTTGATGTGGTCTGACATTCAGATTCTCTTAATTCCTAAGAATCATTTGAATTCAGAAGAGTATATAAGATGCAAATACTTTAGGAATTTGTTTGACAAGGGAACTTTTTTGCTCTGGAGTTCATGTGGGATTAAGTGGAGTGTTGTACATTGTGGTACATTTGTTTGATCAGACATTGAGTAGTTGTTAAAAATGACAGAAGATGATAGAAGCATGGAGAAATGCTTATGTATAGTAAAGAAGCCAAATATTCAGGGTAAGGATGTAGCTCAGTTCAGGATTGAGAATCTGTGGGGTCTGGTCAGCTGGGGCTGAAGAATCAGCTGTGACTAAGAAGAAACCAGAACCTGAAGCAAAACCTTTGCTTTGCTGGGACAATTGATGCTGGTTAGCTGGGGCTGAAAAATCAGCTGTAAGTAACAAGAGAGCAGCATCACTGAGGTGAAATCTTCTGGGAGGTATTTCCTCAGGGTCAGCACACAGAGGGGACCCAAGCCTCCATCTCAGGCTAGAAGCAGGACTTGGTAATGTGTAAGAGTCTCCTGCATGGTTCTGATGTTGAAAGCGTGAAGGGGTCACAGAGAGCAGCTGAGGCTTGGCACTGTGAGAGGCCAGGAAAGGCCATAGGTGAAAGTGCAGCTTCAGCTGCAGTGAAGACCCCAGGATTGAAGGGGCCATGGAGAGAAATCTGAGGCTTTGCACCCCAAGAGGCAAGAAGAGGCCATTGGTGAAGGTGTAGCCTCAGTTTCAGAGGAGACACCAGCTTTTTGGAGATGCCAGGGCCATGGGACAACCACCAAGGACCGCAGTAGGTGTGGAATGAAGCTGGCCTCGGTCTGTGAGACTGAGTGTGCTGTGAATGGCAGAGTCAGAGAAGTGGAGCTGCCAGAACCCTTTGGAGTCCAGAAGATCGTGAGTGAATCCCAGATGTCCAGCCTCGAGCTACTCTGCTGGACTTTGGTTTTGCTTAGGTGTGCCTGATTCTTCCCTTTGAAATAGGACAGTACTTGTTTTGGATTTTACAGAAGCCCACCCACAGTTAAGAGAGTATTAAAAGAGGCTATGGACTTTTAAATATTTGGATTTTTTAAGGACTATGGGGTTTTTAAGGTTGTGCTGTTTTGTGTTGTGATATTAATGTTAATATCATATCTTGGGAACAAGAATTGGAACGGTTATGCTTTAGTAGTGATGTGTTTGTGTGTCAAGTTGACAAGGGGTCAGTTGTGCTGGACAGCTCTGGTGTCAACTTGACACACCTGGGTTGAGGGAGCCTCAATTGGGGAATTGCTTTCATTGGACTGGCCTGTGGCCATGTCCATGGGGCTCCTTCTTGACTGTTGGGTGATGTGGGAGGGCCCAGCCCACTGTGGGTGGTGCCACCCCTGGGAGGGTGGGCCTATGTTGCATAAGAAAGCAGGCTGAGCAGGGGCAGGGGAGCAAGTCAGTAAGCAGTGATCCTCCATGACCCGTGCTCCAGCTCCTGCTTCCAGGTTCCTGCACTGAGTTCCTACCTTGGGTTCCCTAATAAACTGTGACCCAGCAGATGTAAGACGAATAAACCCTTTCCTCCCCAAGTTGGTAGTGGTCAGAGTTTTTTGTCACAGCAATGGAGAAACAAACTAGGACAATCAGTAATTCAAGTTCCAGGCAGGACCAAACTCCCTCTTCTGGCCTCCTTGGGCATTGTATGACACACCATACAAGCAGGCAAAACACATAAATACATTTTTTTTTTTTAATTGTTAATCCCAGTACTTGGGAGGCAGAAGCAGGAGGATCACTGTGAGTTCGAGGCCCACCTGGTCTACATAGTGAGTTCCAGGTCAGCTGGGGCTACAGGGAGACCCTGTCTCAAAAAGACCACCCCCTCAAAAAAAAAAGTTGTTATCAACAGGCGTGGTAGCCCACGCCTTTAATCCCAGCACTCGGGAGGCAGAGGCAGAGGCAGGCAGATCTCTGTGAGTTCAAGGCCAGCCTGGTCTGCAATAGTGAGCGGGGGCTAAAAAGAGACCTTTTAAAAAAAAAAACAAAAAAAAAAAAAAAAAAAAAAAGTTGTTATCAGCCAGATGGCACATGCCTTTAATCCTAGCACTAGGGAGGCAGAGGCAGGTGCATCTCTGTGAGTTCAAGGCCAGCCTAGTCTACATAGTGAGTTCCACGACAGCTGGGGCTACAGGGAGACCCCCTGTCTCAAAAAGACCACAAAAAAATTCTGATCATCTTCCATACTTTCCTCAGTGTGTTGAAAGCTAAACAAGAACCTCGGTCAATAATTTCAACATTCGAGGATCTATAATTATAAAATACCACATTAATAGACTGAGAAAGAAAAATTTCTTGAATGCCAAAAAATTTTTTAAACTTCAACATAATTAAAAATTTTCATACAAACTAGATATAGAAGGAGTGTTTTTCAACACAATAAAAACCTAGTAAGATAAACTCACCACATCATTTTCAGTAATGAAAAGTTCAAAGCTTTCTTTCTAAGCAGAATGGCATTAGTGTGACAAAAGACAAATGCCAATGGGCCAGAACAGAGTAGAAATAAACCCATACATTTACAGTCAATTGATTTCAACAAAGGTGCCGAGAACACACAATGAGGAAAAGAGGCTCTTCTGTGGAACTGGGGCAAAGAGGTTCCATGTGCAGACCAATGAAATGGACCATCTTAAACAAATGTAGAATTCAACTCAAAAGGGATTAAAGACACAAGCATGAGACCGGATACTGTAAAACTGCTTTAATAAAAGGAAAGGGGGCCTATACAACATTTTCTAGAAATATGACACCAAAAGGATAGGCAATAAATGCCCCCCCTCAAAAAAAACCTGATTACACAATATGAAAAGGCTTTGCACAGCCAAGCAAACAATGAACAGAGCAAAAAGACAATCCTCAGAATGGAAAAGAATGTTTGCAGGCTATACATCTTCTAAGAGAACAGAGAGAAGAAAGGTCTGCACGTCTATGTTCACTTCAGTAATATTAACAATAGTCAAATTTGGCGGGCTGGAGAGGGCTCAGTGGTTAAGAACACTGGTTGTTCTTGCAGAAGACCGGGTTCGAATCCCAGCACCCACATGGCAGCTAACAACTGTCCATAACTCCACTCCCAGGGGATCTGACAGCCTCTTCTGACTTCCTCTGCATTGCACAACATGGGTGCACTTACCTATATGCAGGCAATACACACAAACACATAAAAAAGTAATAGTAATAAAATTAAAAAATAGTCAAATTTGGAACCAATCTAAGCTTTCATGAATAAATGAGTCAATAAAGAAATATGGCACATACAATGAAATACGATTCAGCATTAAAAAGAAAACTTTGTCATTTGTGAACACATGGATGGGCCTAAAGGATATCATGTTAAGTAAAATAAGTCAGGAACAAAAAGACAAACAGTCCATGATCCCCAATACAGAATCTTAAAAGGACAAACTCATAGAAAGCAAAACAGGTTATCAGGAGCTAGGTAGCGTGAGGAAGGTGGGAAGACTGAGAGGATTGAGGAGTACAAACTTTCAGTCAGAAGGAATATATTTGAGCGATCAATAGTACGACATAAGCCATAATAATATATTTAAAACTCACTCATTTTTTCAGTTGCTTTAAGCTGTAATAGATTCTACGTTTATAAATAAATTCCAAGCCAAGGATATGACACTTTCACTATATTTGTATAAAACTGGTTACAAAACTTTTGAAATGGGAAAAAATGTTTTTCATATTTATGTAAAATAGATTTATTCTTAGGTGAAGCTAATACATTATAATCTAAATTTTTACATTTTTGTGAAAATAGAAATCCTAACAATGAAACATGTTCCCAAGTATAAGAATTAGGAGGATCTTACCATTTTTGCTGACATCCAGTTCCCTGAGATTAATAAGATTTGCAATGGATGCTGGTAATGCTGTTAAATCATTGTCTGGCAAACTCAGTTTATGTAGAGACTGACAGTTAAAAAGTTGCTAGGGAAAAAGAGAGAGAAGAAAATCTGATTATCTTTTATATTTCCATAAGTATTTTGTGGACTAATTTTATACAAATAGATAAGACTCATATCAGAGCTCAATGAGTTACACCTACACTAACACTAGGAAAGACTTCATTGTTCTGGTTCTGCTACCATTGATCTGAATAAATCTGAATCACTTAGAATGACTTACAGCCTCATACTTCTACCCTAATAGACTACACTTAGTGAGCTCAGTGAGAATAAGCCCATAAGCTGTGGCTGTCACATATGACAAGTTCTGGAACTTGTCTTTGAATCAAGCTTATTCCAAAATGAAAGCCCCATTTAAGAACATAATTCCCAAATGTGAAATTGTTAGGTATGTGATAGATGCATGTTCAGTTATTTGCACTGTTAGAGCAAGTCTCTTTCTTTTCAACACAGCCTCTAAATTCAGACCCTACTGGTGACTAATCCTGGTTTTCCATATTCTGTAGAACTCGTCATGGAATAACTTAGTTTCTAGAGAACATATAATGAAGAATAGTAAATTACAAAGTATACTACAATCACAACATAGGTGTGTAATTCACAACCATGTACTTGGCAACCTTTAATATTTTTTCCAGTTGTTTCAGACTTCTCCACAAAATTACCAAGGATAAATCGAGGATAGTGGCTCATGCCTAGAATCCCAGGATCTGGGAGGCAGAGGCAGGAAGAATGTTGTAAATTTGAGACACTACCTCAAAAAAGCAAAAACAAACAAACAAACAAACAAATTAAAAAAAAAAAACCTACCTAAGATAGCATAGGCTTTCAAGTACTTGTTACCAGAAAAAAAGCCTTTTGTCTACTGTCACTCAGGATGTTTACACACATACAATATCTAAAACAAGTATTTCAGGAATCAAGGGCTCTGTGCAACATATTCTACTTCCTACATTATAGTTAAGGTTGCCAGATTAAATACAGTATACCCAATTAAATTTGAACTTGAAATAAACAATCATTTCTGAGTACAAGCATATCATACGTACCGCACACTTACACTAATTATTCTTGTAAGCATGTTATATTTTTATTTTCTAATTCTTACAGTCCAAATTATAGTTCATTTTTCAAAATGTTGGTAACACACACTAAATTGTTCACTGGTAATTGTGGTGGGCTATTTTGGAAACGGGGTCTCACTCCACAGACATGCAGGCTGTAGCAGTGAATTCACTATGTATCTCAGAATGGCCTTTAGCTGGAGACCTCCCTGCCTTTCTCACCACCATTCCCAGCTGCAAGCCGTTTCTTAAGTCACCAATTGCAAACCTTTGCTTAACGCTTCAAAAAACTACTGTTCAGATGCTATGGAGCCCAATAAACAATTTTCAGCTACTGCAGCCTTTTCATAATATGGGTAACAAGAGGAATGAAAATGATACCAAAAAAATTCCAATAGCAGGTGATAACTTGAGAAGGAACTTCAGAGAAGCTTCTCCACAGTTGTTATTAGATTTCAGAAATCTAAGTTCTCCAAATCAATTCCAAACAAACTATAAATGGAGGAAAACAGAATCCTATCTCTTAAAAAAAAAAATCACTGAATTATAAAAGCATGATATAGTAGCTGAAATTACAATTATCCCTAACTTTAACACTGCACAATAAGGTTTTATGAATAGTACACTAATACAGTATAATTTCAGCTTCTTTGCCTGGTTATATTTAATGGCTCCAGAAATTGTATGGTCTCATTATCTATCTAAATGATTATAATATGCTACAAGTAAAAATAAAATTTTAAGTTATTTAGCCAAGTATTCAACAGTTTCAACAAAGGTTTAAAAATCTGTATAATTTTAAATTGTGCTATGAACTGTAAGGTAAGATTAAACCAATACATGGAAACAACACACATACAAATATATGTACAGCATGTAAAATTTTCAGGCACGGAAATTACCAAATGTAATTCTTGACAGTATTTACATACCTTTGGAAGCTCTTCGATTTGATTAGCATCTAAGTAGAGCTCCTCTAAAGTTTTTTCAAAAGTAAAAATCTCTTTCGGAACTTGTTCCAAGCTGCAATGAGAATAATCTAAAGTAGTGACAGTCTCCTCTTCTCCTCGCAGACAGCGACATGGTACCAATCGCACAAACAAACTCCGTTTCGTAGTCATTTTTAGATACTGCAGCATATGGATAAAAACAATTTAAGATATATACATTACAACTACCAATCTTTTGAACAAATAATTACAATTCATATGTCACAACTCACATATCGCAGACAAATAATACCTCTTCACTACTACACACACTCGAAGGAGTCCCTTTAAGACTGCTTTGACAATGCTGGAGAGAAAGCATTGGCTATTCCTGCAAAGGACCTGGGTTTGGTTCAACACCCACACTGTGGCTAACAACCATCCATAACTCCAATTTGAGGGGATCCGATGCCCTCTTCTGGTCTCTGCAGGCATTGCATGCACATGGTGCACTTACATACATGCAGGCAAAACACTCAAACACATAAAATAAAAATAAAGTTTCCCTTTTTAAAAAAGATTACCTTAATATCCACACTCATATATCTACTGGTTTTCAAATTAAACTCAAATACTTTAGTACTCTACAAAACAATCCAAAAAGTAACTACTTGTATACTTCTACAAAAGCAGGCTTTGTGAGTCTACTTAGTTCTCAAAAATAGTATTACAGCAAAGAATTCTCTTTAATCTCTGCCTCTAAAAGTTGTTTCTTAGTAAAGAACCTATGTGTATTACTGGGTAGGAAGTAAGACTGTGAAGACATTTTCAAGTCTTCCTATCCATCCATAAGGAATCAATCACCATTTAACTTTCCTATGATTGTCCCACACGGAAATTCCCATCTGAGGGCTGGAGAGATAACTCAGCAGTTAAAAGCACTGGATGCTCTTGCATAAGACCTAGGTTGGGTTCCCAAAACCCACATTGTGGCTAATAAATATCCAAATACAGTTCCAGGGAATTAATACCCTCTTCTGGCCTCCAAAGGCACTGCATGCATATGGATGCACTTACATACATGCATGCAAAACATTCTTATTACATGTAAAGGATAATAAATAAATAAATAAACAAACAAATAGAAAATTCCCATATGCACCAAGTATAATTTTGTTTCAATCAAATACTAGCCTATAAGTTTTCAAAACAGCTTACGAGTTTTAAATGTGTTTAAAATTACACACTGGAGTAAAGCCACTTAAAATACAGTCTTCAAAGGAGAAAAGGTCAGTTTTGAATTAGTAAAAATTTGCGAGGTCAGTTTTAATTTATTTTTATTTTATGTGTATGAGTGTTATGCCTGCATGTGTGTAAATGCACCCAAGTCATGCAATGCCCACAGAGGACAGAAGAGGGCATCAGATCCCCTGGAAATGAAGTTATGAACAGTTGTTAGCCTCCTACATGTGGTTGCTGGAATTCAAACCCAGGCCTTCTGCAAGAAGAGCCAGTGCTGTTAATCACTAAACCATTACTCCAGCCCCTGCAAGGCCAATTTTATTAAGAGCATAATGTATGAATTCCAATTAGGCTACAATTAAACTAGCAGAGTAATACTTATTTGAATGAGAATGATTGACAATTATTGTTAGCAATTCTTTGTACATAAGTAAAATTCCTGCCCTAGGTACAGATACAAAATATTGTTAACTAGGATAAAGTGCAAATTAAAGTCAGCAAGACCTTAAGCACAAAATACAAGAAAGTATCAAAGAATTCAGTAATAAAAATAAATATCTTAAATACAAAATTGTAATTAACTGAAAAATAATCCATTTATGAACAAAATGATGTTTCACTGTTTTTCCTCATAACATAGGATCCAATACGGCTCTGCAAGGCACTGCACTAACTGCTTTATTTTCTGCTTTATATGATTCTTCAATGCTTGAATTCTGACTTTACACAGTCATAAGGGCACTGTGCTAAAATTATCTCTTTTTTGTTATTATTTTGGGGTTTTTGTTGTCATCATTTTTGTTGTTAAGACGGATCTCCCTGTTGCTTCAGATGGCCTGGAACTCACTAATGTAGTCCAGGCTGGCCTCCATCTTACAGAGACTGGCCTGCTTCTGCCTCCTGAGTGATGGGATTAAAGACATGGGCAACCATGCTCAGCTCTTTAAAGAGTGTAACTGTTATTGAACTGGGACATTAAGAACATTCTACCTGTTATGTCCAGTATGGAAGCCAAGTGTTATTTAAATTTAATATTAAAGTTAAATCAAATATAATTTAAAATGCCATTTTTCCATTCCATTTTATTTCCTATGCTCAACTGTCACATCCCTCTCGGGGCTACCACAGTAGACCAGTAACGGAACATTTCTTTTTTAAAAACATTTATTATTTTTCTTCTACGTCTATGAGTGTATTGACTGCATGTAAGTACACCTATGTCATGCAGTGCCCATGGATGTCAGAAGAAGGCACTGGATCTCCTGAACTGGAGTTACAGACAATTGTTAGCTGTCATGTGGGTGCTGGGAATCGAACCTGGGGCCTCTGCAAGAGTAGTCCATGCTCTAAACCGCTGAGCCATCTCTCCAGCCCCTGAGTTATAGAACATTTCTATCATTACACAAAGTGTAATTTCATAGAGCTAGTCCAGTGTTTCAAACTATGATTCTCACATACCATATTATAACAAACATGTCTAGACACATAATGTGATAGTGTCTAAGAAGCTGGATGATGTCTTTAAAACTCCATTTCTCAGAAACCACTCTAGATTTAGGGAGATAATGAATGAATGACATGGAATGTTATTAACCAAATACATGTAATTTTAAAGATAGCATTATTTATTGTAGATATACTATAGGGCACTTGAGATACAAGGTAATTTATAAGGCAGAGTAACCGTTAAAATGAAATAGGCTCCAAGATTTTTCTACGTAGCTGCAAATAGATGTATGCAAATTATAGCAGGGTAATAAATTCAGAAAAGAAAGATTAAATGGGTGTTTGGCTCCAGGAAGCTGCAGGGACTGTACAATTCAAAGGAAAACTTTCTGTGGATGAAAGCTATAAAGAGAGCAGTTTAGACTTTAGATTTAAATTTTGTTTTTAGACAACGTCTCATGTTACCCAGACCCAGGTTGGCCTCAAAACTCCTAGGGTCAAGAGACCCTCCTGTCTCAGCCTCATCAGTAGCTGGGGTTACAAGTGTGTACCACCATGCTGAACTTTCTAGACCACAAATTAAATTGGGTGGGTGGGCACAGAGCTAACACAAAAACAGACCCCAATTCTCTATAGGTCTGCAAATAAAATAGTATGGAATAAAAACTACTATTTGACTTAAAAGTAAAGGGACTTTAATCCTTGAGAAGAAGAGGGAACATACTACATTCTAAAGGAAAAGAAAAGGAACAAAATTACCTAGAGATCTTCCCTTATACAATACACAAGGAGGCAGCCTAGCCAGGTCGGAATAGAAATGGATGGGCATGGAACTGCCAATCAGAATTGTTTTAAAAGCTACTTTATAAATCAGAATTAACACTGGAGGTAAAAAAAAAAAACCTTCTAATCATAATGGAAGAAAAGCAGTCAACCCAGAAAAGGAGCATAATAAGCAGGGAATTTGCTAAGAAAAGAAATTAAATTGACTTACCTCTGGGTTGAACTTATTTCCCTGGTGTTTCTTAATTGAGCCAACATTCTATGGAAAGCAAAGAGAACCAAAATTAACAATAAAAATGGATCTTTATAACTAAGAAACATTTCTTCTAATTCCTAATTTATATCAAAGGCTAACTGAAATTCTAAAATATTGACCATTGCAAACTGAAAATAGAATCAAATAACCAAACCAAAATACCAGCTGTAGTGGACCTTGTAGCCTTCCCAAATGGGTAAGCAACCTTCTCCTCATGCCTTCTGTGTTTTTGTTTTTACAGCCCAGGAGACCTAGTGTTCCCTAAAGACTTACAAAAGGAGTCATTCAGGTAACCTGCTTTAGTCAATTAAAAAAGACCCCCAAAACATCAATGGGCAACTGGTACACACTAATTGCCATATCTAAATATGACTCCTAGCTTTAATTTTCTCTTATTTCATGGGAATTTCCAAAAACTCAGATTTTCTGCTCCTATAACAAAGCCTTCTGCTGTTACCTTCCCAAATGGGTAAAAAACTTTTTCTTCATGCCAGGCCTACTACTCTGTTTTTTTTTTTTGTTTTTTTTTTTTTTATTTTACTGCTCAAGAACTATTCCTAGAACTCACTATCAAATAACTAATTTAGCTCAAGAACTTTTATTACACAGGAACTGTTGCATTCATTTGTAGCAGCTATACTTCAAAATCTAATCCCTAGATTTGATAACGACTGTTCAGAGTGGAACCTGTACCAGGCTACAAGAAGAATGTAGTTTTTACATCAATATATCTGGACAAATACAATAAAATCTCTAAAATAAAAATCAAATGTGCCAGGAATTTTAAGGAGCAAGGTACAAAAGGAGGAATTCACTAGTGGAATTTAAAACCAATGAATTTTTAAAAATAAAAAGTAAAAGTCACATGTGATGGTGTGTGCCTTTAATCCCAGCACTTGGAGAGCAGAGGTAGATCTCTATGAGTTCCAAAGCCAACAAGAGCTACATAGTGAGCCTATCTTCAAATAAATGAAATAATTAAAACCAATGAATGGTCAGGTTTGTCTTGGTTGCCTCCCCTTCTGGGACCACTAGTCACAATCTTGCATTTTGTCCCTTCATTTTAACCTGCTGTCAAGAATGTGTCTTCTAGGTCTTAATAGTTCCATCCCAAAGTGATGCTTAGATAAGACTTTCAACCCCAGCTAGGTAAGTTTCACTTCTATAATACTTCCTGGACCAGGCAATAAGGACTTTAGCAAAATTGCAGCAGCTTCTTTTAAAAACACAGGTGTATAACTGCGTGCACAACTTAGCTAATTTCTAAACAAATGGCTACCTTCCTAAATAAAAATGTTCATACATTTATAAACTGAGCCTTTATCAAAAACAAATACCTTTTCACTCACCACTAAAATGTCATTTATTCATCTTAGTAAGATATAACAAATTTTCTCCACACAAATAAACTCTAATCATCAATCAACATTTCTTTTTTAGCAGTTTTAATGGTTCTATTTGACAAGTACTGTTAATTGCTTATCAGATTCAGTCCTCCTTTTAAGAGTTTTCATTATTCAGGGTGGTAATGGGCTGAGTTTTCCAGGCCAGGAGAGGTGGACAGGGAGAGATGACACAGGTGAAATAAAAGAATTACATGGTATTCAGAATGCTTTGGGACTAGAATGGCAATATTAGCCCTTCATTTTTCTATCCTTGAATCTGCACATGATGTCTAGGGCTGCATATCCTAGTTCCATAAGTCAACAAACAGGAGGATTAAAAGTCTGTTAGTAAATCTGAGTAGAAAGACAAAATAAGCTCAGTAGCTAAACCGATATTAACTATTGCCTGCTTCTAGATTTCTAGTATATCATTAAACTAACATTCATATTTGCCTTTGCAAGACTCTACTTGCAACCAACACAACTAAGTGTTCACATTTTCTTTACTTGCAACCAACACAACTAGTCCACATTTTCTTTCAGATATAGAATCTGGTTTAAAACACACACACACACACACACACACACACACACACACACACACACACAGAGTAGAGAGGGAAGCTGAGCATAGTGCCTCATGCCTGTAATCCCCACACTCAGAAGGCAGAGGCAGGGAAGAAAGTCCCAAATTCAAATCCATCCTGGTCTATATAGCAAATCCCAGGTTAGGCATAGTTACACAGCAAAACCTGGTATAAAAAAAAAGATGGGGGTGGAATAGCTGGGGAGATGGCTCAGTGGGTAAAAATGGTTTGCCATAAAAGCCCAAGTTTGGATTCCTAGAGTCCATGTAAAAAGGGTTATGCAGCAGGGCGTGGAGCATGCCTTTAATCTCAGCACTCTGGAGGCAGAGGCAGGCATCTGTAAAATGGAGGCCAGCATGGTCTACAAAGTGGGTTCCAGGTCAGTCAGGGCTACAGAGAAACCCTGTGTCAAAACAAAAAACAAAAAACAAACCAAAAAAAAAAAAAAAGAAAAAAAAAAAAAAAAAAAAAAACCAAAAAAAAAAAAAAAAGAAAAAAAGAAATTGGATGCAGAGGAAAATAATCTACTAAAATTAGTATATATTAGTGGCACAGAACAGTGAGTTTCATCACGGCACTTTCAAACATGTAAATAAGAAAGAGAAGCCACTTCTTAACTTTTTTAGTTTTTTGAGTCAGGGTTTTCCTGTAGCCCAAGTTGGCCTAGAACTCACTAAATAGACCAGGCTGGCCTCAAACTCAAAGATTCACCTGCTTTTGTCTCCCAAGTGCTATAATTAAAGGCCTGTGCCACCACACCCAGCACTTGTAAGAAAGGGCAACACCCCTTTGATTTTTTTTTTTAAATGTGTATATGTGTGCCTGCATAAGTTTATGTGTAACACATGCTGCAGGTACCCATGGAGTACAGAAAAGGGTGTCAGATTCCCTGGAACTGGAGTTCCAGGTGGTTGTGAGCTGCGATGTTGCTGTAGGGAACTGAACCAGGTCCTCTGCAAGAGCAGTATGCACTAACTGCTGAGGCATTTCTCCAGACCCTTATAAACTTTTATAAACAGAATATGGCCAACCATTCACAGACTGCAAGACCTCCTGCCATTAACAAAGTTACCAAGGAAGAAAACAGAACCAAATAAACCTTGGGTGGAACTGTGTAACTAACTAGGACAATTCACCCAGAGGAATGAGAGATATTTTGCTTGGTGACTGAGTTTGCTTGCCTAGTATACATGTGGCCCTGGGTTCAATGCCCAGCACTGCAATAAAAGAACTTCAGAGTATTTTTCAAAAACAGGTATTATTGTGTTCTGTCTGTAGAGATTCTGATTTAGTAAATCAGGTATAAAACTCAACATTCAGAGCTGGAGAGATGGCTCAGTGGTTAAGAGCACCAACTGCTCTTGCAAAGGACCCAAGTTTGATTCCCAGCACCTACATGGCAGCTACAAACCATCCTTGACTCCAATTTCCAGGGGAATCCGAAGCCCTTTCTGGCCTCCACAGCATTGCATGACACGGGTACACTCACATACATGCAGGCAACACACTCATGCACATAATAAAAATAAATAAAATATTTTAAAAAAACATTCAGGGCTGGAGAGATGGCTCAGCAGTTACAAACACTGACTGTCCTTGCAGGTGACCCAGGTTCGAATCCCAGCACCCACATGGTAGCTAACAACTGTCCGTAACTCCAATTCCAGGGGCTCTGACAGCCTCTCCTGTCCTCCACAGGCATTGCATGACACGGGTGCACTTACCTATATGCAGGCCTAACACTCATACACATAAAATAAAAATAATAAAATACTTTTAAAAAAACCTCAACATTCATTAGCTTTTCATTCAAGGATGGGATGATATATCCTCAAGCCTTCAAGTCCTCCCATACCTGGGATCCATGCTTTTCTGTGTAGCCATACTCATACCAGGTACTTGCCCCCAGACACCAAAACTGATATCCTGGAATCCAGATCACAAAGCTCTCATGGGTTCACTGATTTTTTGCTAGAACTATGTTTTTTAACTGTAGTTTTTATTATGTTTAGGTTTTTCTTGATACCAGTAACCAGACATTTTGTGTCTTCCTATATCCTAATGAGAAAGAGAAATCCCCATATATTTCTCAGTGTAGATGGTCCCTATTGATAGAAAAAAATATATTACTGTGGAAAAAATACAGTTCGGCTTAAGAATCTGTGGAATTAGGACTGATATAATTTAAGACGCGGAAGAGCTTCAAATAGCTCAAAAGGAGCATGATAGGACAAAAAGAAGAGCTCAGAATTCCAATTGTCCTTCAACTGAAAAATGCTTCACTGAAAAAGTGTTCCTCCCAATCATTGGTCATCTCCATATTCTTTATTAGTAATGTCATCAGGATTATTTCCTCCTCCTCCTCCTCCTCCTCCTCCAAACTGCCTCCCTTCTCCTCCTCCTCCTCCTCCTCCTCCTCCCCCTCCCTCTCCTCTTCTTCTTCTTCTTCTGGTCTTTTTTGAGACAGGGTCTCCCTGTAGCCCCAGCTGGCCTGTAACTCACTATGCAGACCAGGCTGGCCTTGAACTCAGAGAGATCACCTGCCTCTGCCTCCCAAGTGCTGGGACTAAAGGCATGTGCCACCATGCTGGCTTGTTGAGTTCTTCTTAATCAATGTACTTTTCCTTAATCATCATTATCTTTTTCTTGTTACCACCCTTCTTTCTCAGGTTTGTCATCTGACTCCTTTTTTTTTTTCCTCTCTCTCCTTTTCTTCTGCCTCATCATTGTTGATTTCTTTATCTCAATTCTTCTCCACAATAGTGTAACGGGACAGGCAATAAACTGAGAATGCTTCTTCACAATCTCCTTTCCTTCAAGTACTCGGTTTGGTCTTCTTTTAGATGTAGGATAACCTTTGTTCCACAACCCACAGGTTCTCCTGTGTCAGTCCTCACTGTAATGATCCCCCTGCGGAGGACTACCAGGCATACTGCTCATCATTATTATGCTTGGTTATCACAGTCACTTTCTCAGCAACTAAATATGCCAAGTAAAAACCAACACTGGGGGCTGGAGGGATGACTCTGAG